TTTTAGAATGCCTTAACTGTCTGGGAATGCAACCCAGTAGATCTCAGGCTTATTTTACTCAGCTCCTATTCAAGATGGAGTTGCTGTGGTTCATACGCCTCTGACAGTAGATCCGTTGTCCAATGCGTGCTGTGAGTCAATTTGCTGGGCCACTCAGTTGCAGAAGAGAAGGAAGTTTAATCATAGGACTGAGGAATGAGGAGATGGGAGGAAACCTCCAATCCCTCTCCCCCAGAAGTTTGGGGCTAGGTTTTCTGGCACGGAATTTTGCACTGTCATCCAGGCTGGAGTGCAGTGGCAGGGATATTGGCTCACTGCAACCTCTGCCTCCCGGGTTCAAGGGCTTCTCTTGCCTCAGCCTCTTGAGTAGCTAAGATTACAGCTGCCTGCTAACATGCTCAGCTAATTTTTGTGTTTTTAGTAGAGATGGGGTTTCACCGTGTTGGCCAGGCAGGTCTTGAACTCCTGACCTCAGGGGATTCACCTGTCTTGGCCTCCCAAAGTGCTGGGATTACAGGTGTGAGCCACCGCACCCAGCTGGGGCTAGGGTTTTTAGGTGTTTTGGTGTGGGCCAAAGTGTGGGCATGCTGATGGCTTGCAGAGAGCAAGGTGAAGTCAGGGCCGGGAGATGAAGACAGCAGTGTTCTCATGCTGATCCCATTCCTTGGTGGGGTCTGCAAACTGGCTGGTGTCAGCTGTTTTGCTGGAATTCAGGGACTGAGAAACACCTGAAACCATCCTTAAACAAAAGCCTTATAATTCTTTCTTTTTTTTTTTAAAGAAGGAAGGAAAGGGCAGGGGAGGGGAGGGCAAAAGCCTTGTAATTCTAATGTCCCAGAGTTTATCTATAAGAACTATGCAAATGCAAACCGGTCTGAGGACCCTCCTGTCAGAAATCTTATCTACGGGAACAATGAGCATGCAAATGTGCAGCGTTTGGTGCAGGACAGGGGCCAGAGTGCAGCCTGACCCAACCCACACTTTTTCTTTTCTTTCATTCTTTTTTTTTTTTTTTTTTTTTTTTTTTTTTTTTTGAGATGGAGTATCGCTCTGTTGCCCAGGCTGGAATGCTAGGGTAAAGTCTTGGCTCACTGCAACCTCTGCTTCCTGGGTTCAAGTGATTCTCCTGACGTAGCTTCTGTGTAGCTGGGATTACAGGCGTGAACCACTATTCCCAGCTAATTTTTGAATTTTAGTTGACATGGGGTTTCAACATATTGGCCAGGCTGGTCTCGGACTCCTGACCGCCTCAGCCTCCCAAAGTGCTGGGATGACAGGTGTGAGCCACCATGCCCGGCCTCATTTTAATTTTTGTACTAAGAGCGGGTTTTCATTTGTTTTGTTTTGTTTTGAGATAGAGTCTCGCTCTGTTGCGTCCATGCTGGAATGCAGGGCGCGATCTTGGCTCATTGCAACCTCAGCCTTCCGGGTTCAAATAATTCTGTTTCAGCCTCCCGGGCTGGAGTGCAGTGGTGTGACCTCAGCTTACTGCAACCTCCGCCTCCTGGGTTCAAGCAATTCTCCTGCCTCAGCCTCCTGACTACAGGCATGTGCCACCATGCCTGGCTAATTTTTTGCATTGTTTTTTTTTTTTTGAGACAGAGTTTCGCTCTTGTTACCCAGGCTGGAGTGCAATGGTGCGATCTCGGCTCACCGCAACCTCCGCCTCCTGGGTTCAGGCAATTCTCCTGCCTCAGCCTCCTGAGTAGCTGGGATTACAGGCACGTGCCACCATGCCCAGCTAATTTTTTGTATTTTTAGTAGAGACGGGGTTTCACCATGTTGACCAGGATGGTCTCGATCTCTTGACCTCGTGATCCACCCACCTCGGCCTCCCAAAGTGCTGGGATTACAGGCGTGAGCCACTGTGTCTGACCTCTTTTTTTTTTTTTTTTTTTTTTTTTTTTTTTTTAAAAAAAGCATTTAATATTTTTTTCTCTACATGAGTTTTTAGAGCTGGGAGCCAGCTACCCTGCAAAACCCAAAATGTATAATTTCCTGTTCTGTCACCCATCACACCTGACCTCGGTGGTCTTGGAAGGGAATTGCACATTAATCTCACCTGGGGAGTTTTAGGAAGCCCTGCTCCCCAAAGCCCACCGCAGCCCAATTACAGCTGAATCCCTGAGGATGGGACCCAGGTGATGTCAAGGTTAGTCTGAGGTCAGTGGTTGGGAGTCAACCAATGTTAATCTCAGTGGGCAGCTCCACCCTGGGCGGGAAACACCTGCCTCCACCCCATGTCCCCAGGGCCAATCCCAGAGCTCCCTTACCGTCTTATTACCCACGTCCTTTGCAGAAAACACAGGCTGGAAGCAAGTCCTGCTCTGCGGAGGTGAGTGCCGATTCTTGCATCAGTTTCTTCGTCTATTCTTTATTTTTTATTATTTATTTTATTCAGTCTCCGTCGTAGAGACTGTCAAAAATTGCCAATGCCGACTATATTTCAAGTCGTCTTGGCGAGGTATTGGGAAAAGTTTTCAATTAGCAGTGATCGCGCCTCAGATAAACCTCATTGGCTATGATACTGCCACTGCGCAAAACTTTTTGTCTCTTAAGGGAAAAGTAATTTTTTTTCTTTTTTTTCCCCAGATCTGCACTGGGAGAAGTAATTATTGGTTGAGTTTCCACCATAGCCTTTCCCAACCCCTAATGGTTGGTGTGACTTTTGATTTTTTTTTTTTTTTTTTTGGAGATAGAGTCTCACTCTGTCGCCCAGGCTGGAGTGCAGTGGTGGGATCTCTGCCCACTGTAAACTCCACCTCCCGGGTTCAAGCGATTCTTCTGTCTGAGCCTCCCGAGTAGCTGCGATTACAGGCATGCAACACCACACCTGGCTAATTTTTGTATTTTTAGTAGAGATGGGGTTTCACCATGTTGGTCAGGCTGGTCTCGAACTCCTGACCTCAGGTCATCTGTCTGCCTCGGGCTCCTGGAGTGCTGGGATTACAGGTGTGAGCCCACGTAACCGGCCTAATGTTGTCTTAAAGACTTCTGTTCAAATATAGTTTAGAGGAGCTCAGGAGTTTAAGACCAGCCTAAACAACATGGTGAAACCTGTCTCTACAAAAAATACAAGGCTGGGCGCGGTGGCTCATGCCTGTTATCCCAGCACTTTGGGAGGCTAAGGTGGGTGGATTATTTGAGGTCAAGAGTTCAAGACCAGCCTGGCCAACACGGTGAAACCCCGTGTCTACTGAAAACACAAAAATTAGCGAGGTGTGGAGGTGCATGCCTGCAATCCCAGCTACTGGAAGGTTGAGGCATGAGAATGGCTTAAACCTGGGAGGCAGAGGTTGC